TATATATATATATATATATATAGGTGACCAAGTTAAGTAAGTAAGTTAGTGAAAGTGAAGTTAGACTGCGTGATTGTGAGTTTAGCCATAAAGAACATATAGTGGCGATTTCTGTACTGAAAGTATCACAGCTTGTATTGTATTAACAGAGTAGAGATTAATAATTTTTCTTGTCAAAGGGTGTTCTAAAGAAATGGAACCAGCCTGTGTGGATTTTTGACGTAAAAGGGAATTATTTAAAGCTCTGGATACAACTGTGGTGATTAACTGTGTAACGAACATCTGTATGTGCGTTTCACTTGTTTTGAATATCTTATTTTAAAACAAGTGGACTGTGTGCTGTCTGTCTATTGTTGAAATTTATTCCCAACAAATCACAGACACCGACTGTAAAGAATCCTGCTCACGCACCTTAGTAAAAATCTGATAAATGGAACCGCGATGTTTTCCGGTTACAAATATCTCCAACAGGGCTGCCTTAGGATTGACTATAATTGCGTCTAATTTTAATTAAAAATCATTTAAGTTCCAAGAAACATGTTTTTAGTGTGTGTGTGTATATAAGTATTTATATAAAGGAATAACGTTTTTATATTTAAAATGCCCTTTTCCACCTTTGACATGACATTGATATTATTAAATTCAAAATATTTAAAATGTAAATTGGATATGTTAACTTTAAAATAACATACGATATACCTAAAAGTTTAAAATGTATATGATCTATTGTTGCTTGAGTATTTAGAATGCTGTCTTAAAAAAACAAGTGTCTTGAATGATTCTAGTGGAAGGCTGAGAATAAGTAACAATCATAACGCGATCCTGTTAGGGACATTCCTGCAAGGAAAATTTTGCGATACCTTTCCTGGTATATGTAAAACCTGCAGTGCAGTGCCATCTTGTGCTTGTTTAAATTTAGTTAGAGAAATTTGAGAATATTATATATATATATATATATATATGCAAGGGAATGATATTATCACCTTAACTAAGCAAATTTCTTTGACTAAAAACACGATACCTTATTAACTGCACGTATTGTGGTGACAAGCAGAATTGAAAGTATTCAGATTTGTTTGCAGTCTTTATATTTGTAAGATGAGATATTTCGTAACCAAGTGCGGAATGCAACGTGTTCAAGATTGTAATCAGTTTTATAAATGGACACTGTTTATATTTAGCAAATGTTAGCGAATGAAATAATCCTTCAGAGAACGCGATTTTTCCACAGGTTGAATGTCGCTAGTAATAACATCTTGTTTAGTAAAGATGTGTGTCCGTATTGTCTTTCAAGTTGCATGGTATTGTACTGCTGATATGTAATGTTGATGAAGGCTCAAACAGATTACTGGTTAGTCAGTGCATCTGGATGACGAGTAAAGTTAATTCACGAAATAAATAGTTTAATTTGAAAATTATTTGATGTTAGTAAAGAATCGTAAACCTTATTCTGATGTGTAATTGATGAATAACAGTCTGTTTTGTTATTAGGCACACACACACAAAAAAGCTATACAATGGGCTATCTATCTGTGCTGTGCCTAGCGCATCAAAAACCTGTTTTTTTTTAGCGTTATAATCCCATAGACACTGTCACCCGAGGGGTCACGATACACTAACCGTAGCAGTTGTTTGTTTGTTATGAATATCGCGCAAAACTACACGAGGGCTATCTGCGCTAGCCGTCCCTAATTTAGCAGTATAAGACTAGAGGGAAGGCAGCTAGTCATCACCACCCACCGCCAACTCTTGGGCTACTCTTTTACCAACGAATAGTGGGATAGTCACTTCATAACGCCCCCACGGATTCAGAATATATTTTTTTCTTTTTAAATTAACAAGAAGTACAAACAT